TCAAGAAAGAAAATAGAAAATAAAAGCCATTGCTGGGTTGTAAGTCCAGGGGACTTGAGCTGACAGAGAGATACTGCAACTTGATCGTTCGATGACCGCGCATAATGTTATGATAACTGCTGTTTAACGCCGCAGTACGCGTTCCGAATGTTATCACAAGAATGCTGAGTTGTGGGCAAAAGTCGTGCCCCAGGCGGGAGTCGAACCCGCACCTCACGCTTTCCGGGCGAGTGCGCTACCAAGTTAAACGTGTGAGTGCTGTAAGGTTACGGCATAAGCCGTTAAGCTGAGAGGGTAAAAGCGGCCCTGGTGGCGTAACGGATAGCGCACTCGCCCGGAAAGCGTGAGGTGCGGGTTCGACTCCCGCCTGGGGCACGACTTTTGCCCACAACTCAGCATTCTTGTGATTTCCATCACAACAGTGTTTGTATTCCTCTTCAGTGCAACAATGCGCAATAAGAAATAGCATGCCTAGTAAGGAGGATAAAAGAAAAACAGGGCAGAATAATTTTTAAGAGATTGAGTGGTCCTTTTTCAGTACTATGTTGAATACTGGTTCACAATTGACGGCAACAAGACGAGCTATGCGAAAAGTTTCATGAGCGCTCTCGGTATTACCGCTCAAATACCGAATTTCATCATGAGCATCATAAATATGTCCCAAATCATCGGGTAAGCAACTCACTTTGTTTAAAAAATCCTTTCGAGAATTTATATTGTTTGACCAACTCTTTATGATCTATAAGAGCGACGGTGACAGCGACGATACACTCAGTTCATACTATACGCTGAGTTCATACTTATCAACTAGAGCGATTCAGTAGCGCGGTTTGAAAATTGCGAGATAATGACAGACCGCGCTTCAATGCTAATTCTCGGCTCACTGCAGCTGCAAACAACAAAGGGTTCGAGAGAGAACAGAGCACATCATCGTTGGGAGGGGAGGTCGTATTTGATCTTAGAAATTTTGTTTTTGATAGTGCTTTTCTTGTTTCACCAACGCTGATGACGGGGTTGTTTTGCTCCATGTTGGAAGAGGGAAGAAGTTCATACTAGGGTTCTTAAAGAAATTTGCGGCATTGGAAAGGAATTTTCCGGTTGTTGTTTTCGCGGTCTTTCCTACTTAACATGTTCTCTCCCCCTCCCCTCTATCGCCTCAGAGGAGGGCACTAGGGGGAAGAGGTTATATCAAGTTACGAGTGGGGGTGGGGGTCGTCGGACCCGACCAGTACCCCAACTAATGATGTGCCCTGCTCACGACTGAATACCTTCCGAGGGTCCAAAGATGAGTGATGGAGCGCGGTCGGTCGCATGGGTACGATTTAACCGCTAAGATCGCGAAGTATGAACGCCGTCTCACGTATCCATCACTATCCAGGTGCCTTACGATGGCACCACGGCCAAAGTCCTGACTAAGGGGAACCTTATGCGGGATCATTGAATAGAGAGTTAACTCACGTCGAGTAAATTCCGTCATCCTGCTAGTGGAAACGTGCAAGAACAACAGGAGAGGGGCTCTAAGCATGCGCTCTAGTGGATTCCTCACAGTTATGCCGATTTTTCCTCTGGAAAAGACTGAAATTAGCCCAGGGAGGACATCAAGGGTGTCAGTTGGGAGGTCCATGTTGTCATGATGTGAAGAAAACGATTCTGCAAAGGGAAAGAAGACATTCGCCCCAGAATGCAGCTGATTTGAAGTGAAGTGCTCCACCATGGCAGGTCAACTAAATAGCTAAAAAGTGGTAACTAATTTGTGTGCGTCACCACAACGTGGACCTCCTATCCGGTACCTGCACTTCCACAACAAAAGAAAATACAAAAGAAGGTCTATAGTGATCGAGTGCAGAACAGATTGTCCCTGGATAAGTTGTACATGGAGAAATATCATGACATTTTAAATATGCCACTCAGAGGTTCGCTCATGATCCGAATAGCCGGCCCACTCACTGCGAACTGCATCAACGTTGCCATTATATTGGCGCTGGTCATTTTTCAAGGATCCTTCAGAAGATGGTCAGGTTTGCACAGTACAGTAGGAGGTGGCGGATGTTTCCTTCATGTAATAAGATGGAAACTTTTTTCAGCAATGCATTGGTTCTATATTGTATCATTAGTGATAGTGATGGTGATGAACGCTTGCAATGGCTTGTATCAGGTCAGACGTTTGTCCTTATTGGGTTCGAGTGGGGCCCAAGCCTGGTCCCCTCCAAGACGTTAAAAAGATGACCAAATATCCATATGAATACATAAACAAAAAATGTACCCCTCAAACGATAGGCGGTGCCCTATCGGGCACAGCAAACCTCCTCAGTCCTAGCAGCTCTTGAAAAAACGCGTCCCCTG